TGTTTCAGTTACCCATAGTCAACTGTGATCCAGAAACAGGTTCTGCTCCTCCTTCTGATTATTGTCAGAAGATCAGTATGCCACATCTCAATGCCTGTCATTCCCCTTACTTCATCCCCTCACACAGGCCTTTTATCATCTTACATCATCACAAGAAGGGTGAGCGCAGAAAGATTTTGAGAGAGAGAGAGAGGTCACATTCACATAATAGTATATTGCTATGAATTGTTCTATTTTATTATTAGTTATCGATGTTGATCTGTACTGTGCCTAATTTATAAATTAAACTTCATCATAGGTATGCACGTATAGGAAGAAACATAGTGTATATAGGGTTCAGTAGTGTCCTCAGTTTCAGGCATCTACTGGACAGGGGGCAGGGGGCTTGTGGAATATATCTTCTGTAGGGTAAGAGAGGACTACTGTACTGAAGGTTTTCATAATTTCTTTTTTTTTTTATTTATTTATTTATGATAGGCACACAGTGAGAGAGAGAGAGAGAGAGAGAGAGGCAGAGACACAGGCAGAGGGAGAAGCAGGCTCCATGCACCGGGAGCCCGACGTGGGATTCGATCCCGGGTCCCCAGGATCGCGCCCTGGGCCAAAGGCAGGCGCCAAACCGCTGCGCCACCCAGGGATCCCAATTTCTATTATTGCTAACCCTGCCCTCAAGCTGCACATTGTCCAGTGATCTATATGAAGTGAGATTTTTTGCCCAGTGTTAAGAAAAACATATCCCCTCACTACTGGTATGATCTCACTACTGGTATGTTCATTTAAAAGAGGAAAGTGAAAGTACATACAATCTGCACACTTGAACATCTTTGTCATTTTTAACTGTCTTAAAAATTATTACTGTGCCCTGAAGGGTAAGTAGCTTAGAATTTGCTCATTATCAGCTGACAAAGTTGTGGCCTTTTTAAAAAGCAAAGCACACTTGGTTGGCAGTAATTTGGGAAGCAGAGGATTGCTATTTATGGTGATATTTAATGTCATTTTCAGTAGGACTAAATTAAAAGGGAAAAGCCATAATGTGGGTAAAACTCCAACCATTTTGGAAGGTAGTCAGAGTAGAGTTGCCTATAATCTTTTCATTCCACCAAAATCTGTAATCGCAGTTTAGAGTAGTGTTTCCTAAGCTGTTTCATCGACTGTTATTTCTTGTACAATATAATAAACGTTCTCTGGCGTTGAAAAAAAAGATCCTTGACAGAATGTTGAAAAAAGGATCCTTGACAGAATGATGGCTAAAGTGAAATGCATTTCTTTACTGCAGATTAGTATTCAGAGCCTTTGAGTTGACGTGCCTTGTGACTCTTCAAGAGAGAGGATACATAATGCAGTGTTTCTTGAACTTATTTGGCCATGGAACCCTGTTTGTGAGAACATCTAATAAGCATTTTATGTTATGACTAGTATGTAGTGGGGCCCAGTTGAACGGTTCTGGTGTAGAGAGTTTATGAGTAAAAAATGAATCTTTTTGTATAAGACAGCTTGGCCCATAGTGGGAAAGGAATTTTCTGGGAACATACAACATGTCTCCAAAGTCATAAAGACTCTTAAGGATGAATGTGATTTCAAAAGGTCATCTAACCCAGTAGCCAATATCAACAATAACACTAGCAGCTACCGTTTTTTAGAGCCCTTGCTGTTTATCAGTCATAGTGTTGTTATTCTCCAGGCATTATTAGCCAATGGTCTTAATGATTTTTATCTTCTTAAAATTTCCAATTCATCAACATCTGCATTATTACATTTTCCAGTAACTAGATGACCACAGGGTCTTGTTTTCTTTGCTGTCTGTCTAGAGCTGCCATGCTTCCACCCTGTCTACTTCTCCATATTATACCCTGAATGATTTGCTGAAAGGGTAATTCGATATTGGTCCCATGCTCAAAACCCTTCAGTTGCTTACTGTTATCCTCAGAATAAGGTTCTAGTATCTTAGTCTTGTCTAGCCCTGTTCACTTTTCTAGGTTAACTTCTAGCCTCTTATCTCTGGGCTACTGCCATATCAAACTATAGCCCTTCCAGGAATGTGATGCTTTTCTGTCAGCTCCAGGACTTTTTGCACATGCAGTTTGCTTGCCTGTCTCAGTAGGTTCCTATTCTTCTTAAAATTTTCAGTCTTCCAAGAAGCCATCTCTGGCTGGCCTGAAATTGAGTTAGGCCCTGGGCTAGGGGCTCTGCTTATATCCTATACTATGCATTTTCTCCTGTTGTAACTCTTAACACACGGCACTATGATTGCTGATTTTAATTTTCTTCTTTGTTATAATAGACTATAGTCTCCTTGCAGACAGGACTGTGTATTTTGTAGGATCCCAGATCTTAGCACAATACCTACATATAAGTATTTATTGAACAAATGAAAGTATCCTTAATCCTTACAGCTTTACAAGATGGTTTATGGTTTAGGAAATTGGCCTCGGTGGGGTTAAGTAACTAGTTTGAGGTTACTCAGCTAAAAAGAGGCGAGGAGGGATTAGAATCTAAATCTGTCTAGCTGCAAAGACTGGGCTTTTCCCTCCCCTGCTTCTCCACATGGCTGCTCTTTTTCATCTTGTCTTTACATATTCCTGTCAAGTGTTCAAACAGCCTGTGCTAACAACCCCATCCATAACTTCTGAGGCAGCTTGTGCCATCTTTGGACAGCTCTGAGAGAATAGAATAGTTTTCCATCCATTGGTCTTAACTTATGCTTTGGAGACTATAACTTATTTTTTAAAAACAAATAATTCAGAATTTATGATCCACTTAAGGTCTCATTTATTGGTTTACTTCATTTATTGAGCAGCCATTTATTGGGCACCAGCAAGTACTGTGTTCCTTATTCTAATGATATTGTCATTACTCAAAATGTTTCTGGGACTTCTTTGGGGATTGTCTTCAAAACTTCTGTCAGATTCTTTTGAAAGTGTGTTGACACACTTTTTTAAACCTTGAAGGTAGATTTGGTTTGGGAAATAACTAATAAGTTGTTCAGGACCAAGTCAGGTGAAAGATATGGGTCAGCAGTAACAATCTGGCAGCCCTTAATTTTCTTTGTTCTGCTTATAATTAAAAAAATTTTTTTGAACCAGAATTGAAAAAGGAAAGATTTGACATTAAAAATTAAAACCACTTGGCTTTCATTTTTTTTTTTAAACCAGACAAAATGATACTACTTATGAAGCCATTGCTGTGGTTCTGGAAGAGATAATGAAGGTACCAGGAATGGGCATAATGGATGTTCCCTGTGATGCTATTTACAATATTTTAAAATTGAAGCCATTGAAGGATTAAAATCTAAAATACATGAAGACCTTAGCTATCTCAGCACCACACACACACACACACACACACACACACACACACACACACGTCAAGTTAAATGCGCAGATGGGATGCCTGGGTGGTTTAGCGGTTTAGCGGTTTAGCGCCTGCCTTTGGCCCAGGGCGTGATCCCGGAGTCCCGGGATCAAGTCCCACATGGGGCTCCCTCCTTCTCCTTCTGCCTATGTCTCTGCCTCACTCTCTGTGTCTCTCAAGAATAAATAAAATCTTTAAAAAAATGCACAGAGGATCTGAAAAGACATTTTTGAAAGAGGACATGCAGATGGCCATTTCAAAAGGAGACATACAGATGGCCAACAGACACATGAAAAGGTGCTCAGCATCACTAATCATCAGGAAAATGCAGATGAAAACTGCAATGATATATTACTTTATACCTGTCAGAAAGGCTAAAATTAAAAAAGACAAGAAATAAGTGTCAGCAAAGATGTGGAGAAAAAGGAACCTTTGTGTGGTGTTGGTGGGAATGTAAATTGGTACAGCCACTGTGGAAACAGTATGGAGGTTCCTCAAAAAATTAAAAATAGAAATACCATATGATCCAGTAATTCCACTACTGTGTATCTACCCAAAGGAAATGAAAACACTAATTCAGAAAGATATATGCACCCCTATGTTCATTGTAGCCTTGGCATTATTTACAATAGCTAGGATGTGGAAGCATCCTAAGTGTCCATCAATAGATGAGTGGATAGGAAGATGTGGTACACACACACACAGACACACACTCAGTGGAATATTACATAGCCAAAAAAAAAGAATGAGATTGTGTCATTTGTGACAATATGGATGGATCTAGAGGGTATTATGCTAAGTGAAATAAGTCAGACTGAGAAAGACTAAAATCTAAAAATCAAAACAAATAAAAGCACAGTTAGACCTAGAAATACAGAGAACATACTACTGATGGTTGCCAGTGAGGTGAGGGGCATGGAATGGGTGAAGGGAAGTGGGAGATACAGGCTTCCAGTTGTGGAATTAATAAACCTCAGGAATGAAAGGCACAACATAGGGAATATAGTCCATGATACTATAGTAGTGTTGTATGGTGACAGATGGTAGCTGCACTTGTGGTGAGCATAACATAACATATAGAGAAGTTGAATCACTATGTTATATACCTGAAACTAGTGTGATGTGTCAGCTGTACTCAAAAAATTCAAAAGGTAAAAAAAAAATAAAAAAGGAAGCTACTGGAAGTTATTAATATAAAACTAACTGAAATTATGGTACATCCATTCAATGGAATATAACCCAATTATAAAGGATACAGATATATATTTGATATGGAAAATTGTCCACATTTTTTAAGTGGAAAAAAATACAAAAACAGTTTATATAGTATTATATTTAGAGACTTAGCTTTCTCATTTACATAAGTAAAATATAGTGTTTGATTCTGAATGGTTGCATTAAATACCCTATTTTAGCAGTGCCCAAGTGACTCAGTTCGTTAAGCATCTGTCTTGGGCTCAGGTCATGATTCCAGGGTCCTGGTATCAAGCCCACATGGGGCTCCCTGCTCCCCAGCTGGGAGCCTGCTTCTCCCTCTCCCTCTCACCCCTTGCTCATGAGCATGTGCTCTCAAATAAACACATCTCTTTTTTTTTAAGATTTTATTTATTTATTCATGAGAGACACGAAGAGAGAGGCAGAGACATAGGCAGAGGGAGAAGCAGGCTCCATACAGGGAGCCCCACATGGGACTCCATCTTGGGTTTTCAGGATCATGCCCTGGGCTGAAGGTAGCGCTAAACCGATGAGCCACCAGGGCTGCCCAACAAATAAAATCTAAAAAAAAAAAAAAAAAAAAAAAAAACCATTATATATTCATCTCATCAGTTTAGTATATAATAAGTCATACAATGTAATATTCAAGTAAATATGGCTTTGTGTTCACATCACAACATATGAAAAGTTTGTTTTTCTTTAGAGGTTCTCTGATATTTCTTGGGGCTTCTAGGTTTACTTTACTAAGTCCAAAGGAATCACCTAGGGGCACCATCAATAAAATATTTATTTGTTCAGGGCACTGAAGAGCCCAGTTTCTTTGCTGCTAGTTATGCTTGTGATGTGATATAGTATAACCTCCAAGATCAGGTCATCTTGGGGACTGAGCAAGACCTTGTCCTTGACAAGAATTGTCATGGTAGTTAAGGCCAACTTCTGCCATAACTCTGGTCCTTCAGTCATTCCTCAGGATGCCAGATCAAGAGCTGTTGTAGCATCATCTTTGTTTTCAGAATCTGGCTTTTGCTGCTTTTATGGATTCTGAAGCTCTTGCTGCAGCTGACTAGTATTCTTTCATGGCCTTTGTCAGTTTGGAGCTGAACAGTGGCTGCCCCTTTAGATGGGACAGGCACCCTCCAGTTTTTCTCAGTCCCTACTACTCCATGTTATTTTGTTGACGCTACGGCTAAGGTTGTGTTTGACATATATCTCTGTACTGAGCACTGGGGATATATGTGGGTATAAATAAAACGTAGCCGCTGTCTTCAGGAAGCCCTCTTCTGGTAATAGACTTGGATAAGACTATAATGTATGATAAATGGTCTAGTCAAGTGTATATTTACATATTAATTGAATACCTACCACATGCAGGTATTAATGCTGAGTGCTTTACCTTGTCATTTAAGCCTTAACATTTCTCTTCGCTTCGGCAGCACTTATTCTAAGCCTCAAGATTCTCATAGGTTGTTTTTTTTTTTTCTTTTTCATTTTTTTACATGAAGAAATGAGCTCAGAGATGGTTAAGGAACTTGGCCAGAGTCCTAGAATTTTCTGACCAAGAGCATCAGTTCCCACCCTGTCTACTCTGAGAGCATTTAAACTTGAACCATGTAATCAGAGGCCTTCACTTTGCCTCATAGTGATATGGGTGTTTTTTAGGGCAAGATGATACAGTTCTCTAGTTTGGAGGGCTGCTGAGATCGAGGACCAAGGAAGAATGTGAGTGGGAATCCCAGAGATCACATGAGGGTCTTAGTCCACAGTAACAACAGGCTAGAGAAGGGAAAGCAATAATAAGTGAGTGGGTCAGACTGCCAGATGGAAATTCTAGTATAATTTCAGTTCTCTTCCCACTAGTAGCTTGAATTCTAGTAAGGTGGCTGTTGATGAGAAATAGGGGTTGAGGGGCACCTGGGTGGCACAGTTGGTTCAGTGTCTAATTCTTGGTTTCAGCTCAGATCATGATCTCAGGATTGTGAGATACAGCCCTGAGTAGGGCTCTGTGCTCAGTGCAGAGTCTGCTTGTTTCTTTCTCTGCCTCTCTTCCACACTCTCCTTCCCCCCCACCCCTTCAAATAAACAAGTCTTTGAAAAAGGAAAAGAAATAGGAGTTGAAGTGTTTTTCTTGCAGACTTCCTAAGAAATAATAAAAACTGTGCCAAAGACCTTCATAGTGTATTAAGGGACATGTTTGGTTTAGTTGGGTACATCAAACACAGAGTCAGGGATGGGCATTTGGGACAATAACCAAATCTCAGCCTGAATTGGTGGTAAAGGCATGGGGAAGATGTTTTGTAGCAGCTGGTGGTCATCCCACACTGCTCTTTATGGCCTAGGAGTTGCTTTCTGTAGGGTTTCAGGGTATGCTGGAGATAGAAGAGAGACAGTTCCTTCTAGTAGCTTTGGAGCCTTAAGGAGAGGGTGCTGTTTCATCACATACTTAGCTAGGTCTCAGCTCAGGAATCAGATTTCTAATTTTTATTTTATTTTACTATTTTATTTATTTTTTAAAAAGATTTTATTTATTTGTTCATGAGAGACACATAGAGAGGCAGAGACATAGGCAGAGGGAGAAGCAGGCTCCATGCAGGGGGCCCAATGTGGGACTGGATCCTAGGACTCCAGGATCACACCCTGGTTGAAAGCAGGCGCTCAACTGCTGAGCCACCCAGGCATCCCAAGGTTTCTAATTTTTAAATTAAAGAAGTTGGGTGTAATGGTTTATGCTACCTCTACATATATGTGACCCCTAAGAATTTCCTTGGCCGTGCCCTGAGATGCCACATGTCTCAGTGTCAGCATTATGGTACAATAGAAAGAATAGCACCCTAGGTGGGACCTGAGTTCGCATCCTAAGTGTATGGCCAGGAACCAGTTGTCAGACTTCTCCAAACCTCATTCTTCTCACATGTAAAAAAGGATAGTGAGGATTAGAGGGGGGAAAGTCTGTAGCGTACTTAGCACAGAACCTGGCACTAATTGATGTTCAGAAATAAATTCATTACAACGTGAGAAATGAGTGGAATGTATGTAGAGAAGTTAATATGGCAAAACGATCGGAAAGACCAGACCACCTTGCTTCTGTTTCGGGGGAATGCCAAATCTCAGCATATGCCCTGCCCATCATGACCTCTTGTATAAGTTCAGCAAAGCTATTTCTACCAAAGGTCTCCTTCCCCCTGGCAAAACAGTTGTGTTTTTTTTTTTTGTTGTTTTTGTTTTTGTTTTTTTTTTTTAGTTGTGTTGTTTAGTTCTGGGATACTTAGCTTTCAAGGGAGGAAGCAGATCTAAAGAGATTGTTAAAGGTCTTTGGTAATAGTGTGATGTTTCTATCTGAATATTTTGTGAAGAGAAAAAAGACATGTTAATTGATTTTCACCATATTAAGAGGCTCCTCTTAAAATCTCAGTAGTTGGGCCCAAAATCCAAAAGCAAATCTTTGACTCCCACCGATAAACTTCAGCATCCCCAGAATGTCTTCAGTAACTATAATACTTACAGAATCTCTCCTGAGATCATCCCTGGTACTTATTCTTGAAAATGTGGTAGAAAAGTTTATTCGCTGTGATACCAAAACTCTGTAATATTAAAAGATAATCAGCATTTTATGACCATCGTAAATAAATCAGTCCATCAAACTATGAGCTAATAGTCACTGGCGTTCTATCTCTGCCAGTCCACACCCCCGCCCCCCATCATTGTATTTCCCTCTTGGGTTCCTGGTAGACCATTTGGAAATGCTACCGTTTCTGTCACTACCTTCTTACATTATCCTGGAATTTTCCTATTTAGTGTTTCAAAATAAGGTGATTTATTCTAGTACTAATACATGCTTTTAAAATTACTGGAGACAATGACAGATGCCTTTTTAGAAATCCTACAAGCTGTTGTATGCTATTGGTTTCACTCTTTATTACTGTTAAAAAGGTAACATTTTCTTTGGAGCTGTTGGATGAGCCCACTCCGTTTTCTTTTTCTTCTTCTGTTAATACTCGAGAGAAAACTAGATAGTTAAGTCACAACTTTCCGATCTTGTGCACATTGCTCCTCTGGTTTACTGCCATAGGATACTATAGCAATATCTTACCGACATCTTTGATGGCCAATCAGAAGCAGTTAAATTACCTTAAATTTTTTAAATGGAACTCTGACAGCCAATAAGAAATCCTTTGGTTGGGAACTGTAACAACCCTTTCGTGTGATTTTAAGAACAATTGTAAATTCGCAGTTTCTTCTGTTTTGGAAACACAAGAGGCCCTAGTGCATCTGCTATGTGCATTTGCCAGGCATTTCCAAGCCTTAAGTTCCCCTGTAGTTTGAAGTCTGGATCTGACCCCTGTTCTGCTTCTCAAGGTAACTTTAAAACAGGAAGTGTACAAAGGAGGTAACTGATGACGTGAACAGCCAATCATGGCTTTGTGTTCTTAGCTGATAAAGCTGCTCAGCCAATGGGACCACTCTGGAGGCAAGGTTTGGTGTCAAATAGCATGCTAGATTGAATGCCTTTGACTGTTAAAGTGGAAGGAGGCTGCAGGGCTTCATTGGAGCCTCGGAGTTTTTCACTGAGGCAGGGGTCAGCTGAAAGACAAAGAAAAATGGCGAATAGTTTGTTGGGGGGTGGGGGGACAGCTGTTCGGGTTTTCACTGGAGTGGACATTCCAGACTCAGGTTTCTGCATCTCCTGCTGCTTTTGTTTCCTCCGTCCTTTTTTTTGGGGGGGAGGGCTAGGAGTGACTTAAATTCTCCCTGTCCGAGGAGATATAAATAACTACATGTAAAATTAATGCAGTTCCCGGTAAGTTTAATTCTTTGTTTTGTGTTAAAATGGTAGAAACTGTTTAGCTTCAGAGAGTGTAGACAAGTTGCACTGTTTCAGAAAATGGCCACTTTACATTCCATGCATACCTTTTGGTGCACCTAGAATACCTTGGCTCTGTTAAGATTTTGCATGCCCTTCACCTAGGATTTCTTTTCCTAGTTGAGTATTGACAAGATCAGGTACATGAAGAAAGGCTAATCATTTTTCAGGGCCACACAGCACTTTCTCTTTGCATTGGGTAAACTTAACTGTTTTCCAAATAATTTTCCTTTGTTCAAGTGCACTGAAGCCTTCCTACAGAGTAAGCTGAGTTGTTGTAAGACTTTTTCTGTTTCCATGCACTTTGTTGACATCTGTGTTTTCAGAGGTGGAAGCAACACTATTGCTGTTCTAAATTTGTGTGAAAATATGGTTTGCACGGATGCAGTTCTGATGGTGAAGGCCCACATGCCAATGTGAAATTCTCCCGTAACTTTCTTGATTTACCTGTTTGCTTCTGTTCTAATACGTACCAGTTAATCAATAACAATCTTTGTTTTAAAATGCACATTCCAGCTTAGAATGTTGGTGAGAAACATACATTTCCACTATATTGGCAGTGACAAGAGCAAATCTTTTTCTACAATTTCACACATTTTGTCAGGCATTGGTTTGATCTTTGAAAATGATGTGAGCAAAGTGCTTTTCATTTTCTGTATGAAATATTTCGAATCCTAATTTACCTGCAATTTGAGAATAGGAAAGTTAAGAGTACAGGTACCCTATCTTTTGCCCTTGATAATTTTTCTCCCCTGTTTTAGGGATACGAAGCTAATGCTGGTTGCTAATCAGTAACCAGCCAGTTTTTGTGAATAGTGAACTCTTCTGTCCCATGTACTAACATCTATAATACACTCGATTTTAAAAAGCAATTCTTTGTTTTCTTATTTGCAAATATGGAATGAAGGTCATTGGAACATTTCTGCAGCAGACTCAGTGTGGAGCAGTGAGCCAGCAGTACTCAGTCTCCGGGTAGGGAAAGGGAGCAGGCCCTAGTAGAGGAGAAGTTTGGAGGGTGTTGATTTGCCTTCTCTGGCTTCCCCTCGTGTAAAGGATTTACCTGAGAGGATCGATAGGGGTTTAGATTTGGGGCTCTTCGAATTGGAGTGGTGTAGCAGTCAAAGTTACTAGATACAGGCCTCTGTCGTTGCTCTCGCAAAAGTGACCTTGAAAAACTGCCGAGGAGTTGAAAGATTGAAGGACAAAGTTTGTTTATACAGATTTAGACTGAAAAGCTCTATTTAAGATGAAAAGAGACTGTACTTCTGATGTTCAAGTTGAGTGGTTAGTAGGAATATGTTATAGATTCAGATTAGGAGTTTTCAAGCAGTAAGACAATAGAGCTGCATTCATTCTCTCTCCCACTCTTCTCCGTTCCTTCCCCCAGCAAAAAAATTCTAAATCCTTTTGGTATGATAGTTGAGTGAACTGCCTAACAGATTCAGAATTCCTTGCACGCTACCTTGTCTTTTGTGTAATCTAGAGGGTTCTTAGTGAAGAATGGCATTTCATAAGTTCAAAGCAGTTATGTTTGTAAAACTTCTTTGGGGGAATTGGAATGCTTATGGTAAGAAAACTGTCATTCTGGGAAGTTAAGTCATAAGAGAAAGGGAGTATGTGTTAAGGATTACATTTTAACAGATAATTTAAATTTATTTTTTATAAGTCATTGATTTATATGTTATCAGTTGCTCCAGGTTTTATGTATGATTTAAAAGACAGATGTAGATACCAAATGACTCTTTTAGCTTGGGAGGCCTGGAGCAGGGAAGGCAGAAGGTAAGTGGGGCACAGTATGAGGCCTTGATTAAAACTCTTTATATTGAAAACTTTGTGGATTTCACTTCTTGGAAAGATTTATCTAGCCATTGTCTCTAACTTGGGTTCTTAACCTTTTCAGAGTCATGAATCTGACCCTTTACTTGGAAAAATGCACATAGGCATGTCTATGCAGAACCCCTGGTGACTAAGATATCTTTCAGTATATGCTGAATGGTGTTTATGTGATCTCCTCGTTTAACACATTAGCCAGATTAATGTTTTCCAGAAAAATGAAGAAAATTCTACTTCCATAAGGAGCATAGACCTTCCAGAGCTAACTATAACTTAGACTAGGGGTGGGTGGGTGGGGGTTGGGGTGACTTAGATAGGGTCTTAGATTTGGGCATTTCTTTTTTTTTTTTTTTTTTTTTTTTGGTGGGGGGGGCATTTCTTTATATTCTGATTACAATATTTGAGGCAGCATGCTGCTGTAGCAAAAGCAGGCCATTTAAAGTCAGGAGACCTGTGTTCAAGTTCTACTTAGCTATCACTAGCTTTGTGAGCTTGGGCAAGTCAGCCATTTAGTGTCCGTTTCCTCACATGTAAAAATGGGACCTAAAAATAGCACCTTCCTATTTAGTGGTGAGTCTCAAATGAGATCATGTATGTCAAAGTCCTTTGCAAATTGTGAATTGCTACATAAATATTAGTTGCTATTAATCCAGACTATTGGGGGGGGGCACGCTAAATACTTAGGAAGATAGGTGGGGCATCAAAGAAAAATGTTTACAAGAGTTTGCTTAAACCCAACACAACTCTTTTTTTTTAAAAACCTCGTTCCACTGTTTTTGCTGACATGACCCCTATGTAGTAGTTTGTTGAGACCATCAAAACCTTCCCTTACCAGGATTCCTTTGAAAGAATTTTAATCCCTTTGTCAAAAATTAAGAGTGTCTCAGATGAAATGAGAATGCTGATTTTTAAAAAACCCTTACTAGATAGGAGCCTCTCAGAATGAAAACTAGGAACCTGTTCCGATGGGATACTGAGATTTGTGTTATAATGCAGGTAATTTCTAATAGTTGTGGATGTTTACATTTTTAGTTTGTGCAACAAATATTTGTGAAGTAAGCTGGAGCCGTTTTTTTGTTTGCTTTGTGGTCATATTATTTTTTTGGTCAGTTTTCAAACTTGAGAGGTAGTTACAGCTTGCTGAGTAGTAGCAAGCAAGTAAATGTTGGGAAACGACCTGAAAAAAAATAATTGGTCTCTCATCAGAATATAAACACTAGCATGAATTTCACATAGCTGATACATACCAAGATAAATGGTAGAAACCAACGGACATTTCTTTCTCACCCATTTTACATGCCTGGTATCATCTATTTTTAGGACTCTTTCTTCCCCTGGGGTGGGGTGGATATTTTGCGATCTGTTTGATTTCCTGTCCTATTAAGTCACTTCCTTTCAGGCGTGGTCAGTCAGCATTGATGTCTGCCTCCTTTCTGTGCATTGAAAGAATGATTTACACAGAATAAGGTTTGGCAAAATTGGAATTGGCCTCCAAATAAAAGTCCACTTCCTGGGATGAGTTATGTTTGAAAACAGGAGTCATGGTCACTGTGAGCTTTTTTGTAAGGAAGCCATATATTTTTGTGGAGGCTTCAGTAACCCCCAAAGTGTTCTTAGAGCTTATCATTTATACATGGTCTTCACAAATAGAATTGTTTTCGTTTATTCCTATCCCCAATAATATATACAAACAGAGTTTTTATACTCGTAAGTTAGGCTGATGAAAATTATATAGGATCTAGTCTACTTCCCTTCTTGTAAAGTGGGGAAATTGATGCCCAAAGAGGTTAGGTGCCCCCAATCTTTCAGCTTCTTAATGACTGGCCTTTGCAGATTCAGAGATTCAACTCCTGCTTAGTTAATTCCGGGTTTCTTTTATTCCTCTAGGTTGTTTTTACTTTTTATTTTTCATACTTCTCTTCCTTTTGGTACATCCATATAGGTTTGCTGTTTTACACAGAAGGAAGAGAGAAAATGGGCCATGGAAATGGTTCAAAAGTCCCCATGTGGAGTCTGTTGGTTAGAAAGTCTGCTGTGGCAGCGGACTTACAGTCCCTTTTGGGATCTGAAGATTTCTTGCCTCAGCCAACTGGCTTATTCAGAAAGCAGAGAATCAGCTAGGAAGCTAATGGTGCCCACCTGGCCGAGGCGTCCCAGAGAGCTGGGATACTTTATGTATTATAAGGAAGTAAACAAAGGTATGCAAACAACACCTGCATGCCAGTTACTTGGGATTTTGTTTTGTTTTGTTTTTTGGTGGTGGTTGTTGTTAATACACCTCAAGAACAAGCTAACTCCCAAACAAGTTCGGGCCTGGTTCTTCGAGTCCTTAAGCCAACTGGTATTTAATAAACAGAGATCCCAGGCTCGTTTTAAGCTTTTGACAAGACTGAAATAGAAATCATTTGTATACTCCCTTAATAATATTTTAACTGTGTCAACTTTAATCTTTACCACCAACAAAATAGTATTGTGTATTTGCACGTGTGTGTTTGAGTTAGTTGTGGGTTTGGTTTTGTTTTTATTTGCATATTCTCTGATAGACCATAATCTATTTGAACCTTTTAAAAAAATTTTTTTTAGATTTTACTTATTTATTCATGAGAGACAGAAAGAGGGGCAGACGTAGGCAGAGGGAGAGGCAGGCTCCCTGTGGGGGAGCCCGATGTGGGACTCGATCCCTAGACCCCCAGACTGGGACCACAGCCTGAGCCAGAGGCAGAAGCTCAACTGCTGAGCCACCCAGGTATCCCTAAAATTTTTTTCTTTTGTAGTTGGATTTCTTTTCACCATTTTCATTTGTTGAACTAACGTTACAATTTATTGAAAGAGTGAGAGCTTGAATGATGTGCATCTTCTGTGATGTGTAAATGCTGAAGCATATGATGTCTGAAAAGTAGAGTAGACACAATTGGGATAGTATCTTCCTTGCGTCTGCATCTCCCAGAAGCTTGGTGTTTTATTTTTATTTTTTTTTAACTACTACTCTGCTGCCTCAGCATGGGGCCCGGACCTTTAAAACTTGATCAGATTCTGTCTGTATTGTCACCCATCCCATCCCCTCAGTATCCCAAAGCCACACCCCACTGTTCAATACACGAACC